TACGGAACGGTTAGTAAGGTGGAGGAGTCTGGCCGCAGCATTCACGATAGATAGACTGAAGTGGAGATAGCCTGCGGTGAGGTAGGCCAATGAGGGAGTTACAGTAGTCGAGGCATGATATAATAAGGGAGTGAATGAGTTGCTTAGTGGTTTCCGATGTTAGGAACGGTCGTATCTTGGAGATGTTGCGGAGGTGAAGTCTACATGAGTTTGTCAGCGATTGGACCTGGGGCTGAAAGGACAGATTGGAGTCTAGGATAACACCTAGTACTCTGGCTTGAGGGGTGGGGACTGATGATAGTGTTGTTGGTCTTGATGGAGAAGTCGGCGGGGGGGGGGGGGAGGCGCGGGCTGAGGGGAATACTAGGAGCTCCATATTAGAAAGATTTAGTTTGTGGAAGTGGAGTGACATCCAATATGTAGCTTAGTAGGCTTGTGATACAGGTGGAGACTGAAGGGGTGAGGTGAGGGGTAGGGAGATAGATTTGTGTGTCGTTGGCATAGAGATGGTAATTGAAGCCGTGGGAATTTATCAATTGGCCAAGGGAGGAGGTGTAGATGGAGAAGAGAAGGGGTCCGAGGACAGAACCTTGAGGGACCCCAACAGACATAGGGAGTGAAGAGGAGGTGGCAGCGTTATAGGTAACACTGAAGGAGCGCTGTGATAGATAGGAGGAGAGCCAGGAGAGAGCGAAGTCTCTGAGGCCAAGAGAGTGTAGTTTTTTGAGGAGGCGGGGGTGGTCAACAGTGTCAAAAGCCGCAGAGAGGTCAAGGATTAGGAGTACTGTATAGTGGCCATTGGTTTTGGCGGTTAACAGGTCGTTGGTGAGTTTGAGTAGGGCAGTTTCGGTGGAGTGTAGGGGGCGGAAGCCAGACTGTAGGGGATCAAGGAGGTTGTTGTCGGTGAGGTGGGAACTCAGGTGATTATAGACTAAGCGCTCTAGGAGTTTGGATGTAAATGGCAGCAGGGAGATGGGTCTTTAGTTTGTTCAATTCGGTGGGATCCAGGAGGGTTTTTTTTTAAGTATGGGAGTGATGTGCGCGTGCTTTAGAGGGGAGGGGAAGGTGCCAGTAGAGAGGGAAAGATTAAAGATGTGAGTGAGGGAGCGTAGGATGGAAGAAGAGGGTGACCGTAGGAGTTGTGAGGGGCCAGGGTCAAGGGGGCAGGTGGTGAGGCAGGCTTCTGAGAAGACCTTAGTGACCTCTTCAGTAGTAGCGAGGTCGAAGGAGTGGAGTGTTGAGGGGGTTTTAGTGTGAGGAATGCTAGATGGGGTGGAAGTCTGAGCAGTGGCGATGTCCCTATGAATTGCGTCAATCTTGTTTTTGAAGTGGTTAGCAATCTCGTGGGCGGTGAGTGAGGTACTGGGTGGAGGTGGGGGCGGAGAGAGTAGAGAGAGTTAAAAGCAGAGAAGAGCCGGCGAGGACTGGAGGAGAAGGTATTAATGAGGGTAACAAAGTAGGCTTGCTTGGCAGCGTGAAGGGAGGAAGTGTATGTTAGGAAGGCAGATTTATATCGGGTGAACGCTTGTTGGGATTTGGTTTTACGCCATAGTCGTTCAAGCACACGACTACGTCGTTTGAGATTTTTGGTGTGGTCAGTCTGCCAGGGTTGTAGCGGTCGGGGCCTAATGCTTCGTGTTGTTGGGGGTGCAAGTCTAGAGCGACTGACAGCGAGTTGTTGTAGACAGTAGTGGCCAGGTCAGGGGAAGGATACTGTCGTAAAGTTGGTCAGCTGCAGAGTGGAAAGAAGCAGGGTTCAAGTTATGGAGGTTTCTTCTGGTGATAGTTTGACGTTTGGAGGGATAGGTGTTTGAGGACGAAGAGACCGAGAAGGTGATGAGGTTGTGATCAGAGAGAGGAAAGGGGGTGTTTGTGAGGTTGTAGGGAGTGCAGAGATGAGAGAAGACAAGGTCTAGGGCAGTGGTGGCGAACCCGTGGCACGCGTGCCACAGCCGGCACGCCGAGCCTTATCTGTGGGCACGCCAGGAGAATCCAGCGGCGCGCTGTCTTCCCGGCTGTAGTGTGCGTGACAGCCGGGTCCCAAGTGCGCATGCACAAGAAGCAGTGCTCCTTGTGAATGGTAAGGCGGTACCTGGGACACATGACAGATCCCAGAAGCCGCCGGACCAATCACAAAGCGCAGCGCTTCTCGCGCATGCGCACTGGGCATCCGGCTGTCCGACGACACGCCCACACTACAGAAGCCGGGAAGACAGCGTGCGGCTGGATCGAGGAACAGGTAAGATAAAAAAAAAAAAACTCTGCGGAAGTAAGAGCGGGTACCTGTCAAATTCAGGTACCCGCTCCCCCTCCCTCCCCAAAGGTCAGCAGTCATCCCTGTGCTGTGTCCCCAGTCTCTGGTCATCCCTGTGCTGTGTCCCCAGTCTCTGGTCATCCCTGTGCTGTGTCCCCAGTCTCTGGTCATCCCTGTGCTGTGTCCCCAGTCTCTGGTCATCCCTGTGCTGTGTCCCCAGTCTCTGGTCATCCCTGTGCTGTGTCCCCAGTCTCTGGTCATCCCTGTGCTGTGTCCCCAGTCTCTGGTCATCCCTGTGCTGTGTCCCCAGTCTCTGGTCATCCCCTGTGCTGTGTCCCCAGTCTCTGGTCATCTCCTGTGCTGTGTCCCCAGTCTCTGGTCATCCCTGTGCTGTGTCCCCAGTCTCTGGTCATCCCTGTACTGTGTCCGCAGTCTCTGGTCATCCCTGTACTGTGTCCGCAGTCTCTGGTCATCCCTGTACTGTGTCCGCAGTCTCTGGTCATCCCTGTACTGTTAATTAGTTTGCACTACTGTACGAGTTGTTTTTTCTAAACCAAAAGCTCGATATTCAGGTTTCATTGCAGTGTTGGCACTTTGAAAGAAATAAGTTGGTTTTGGGTTGCAGTTTGGGCACTCGGGCTCAAAAAGGTTCGCCATCACTGGTCTAGGGTGTTCCCGTCGGAGTGAGTGGTGGACTGTATACACTGTGCAAGTGCAAAAGAAGAGGTTAAGTGGAAGAGTTGGGATGTAGTCGGGTTACTGATGTTGATAGGGATGTTGAAGTGTCCAAGGATGATGGTGGGTAGTTCAGAGGATAACAGAAAGGAGTTTAAAGGGTTAAAGTACTTGCCAGTCAGCCTTGGTTTAAGCAGTTTCAAGTCTTATGAGCCCAAAAGGATTTTTCTTGTCTGTCACTTTCGATGTTAAAAAAAAAACAGGAGACTTCTCACAGCTCAACTCAGCCTAGCATTTCTAGCAAATCCACAGGGTGTCTCCCTGGAGCAGTAAACCAATTGTCTCCTTTTGGGGAGGGAGGTGTAGGTGGAGCCCTAAGTTATGACTAGAAACTCTCATAGCTGCTATTATGATTCATAACTCATTCTCGGAGCATTTGGCAGCCTGGGCACTAGTATATTAATACTCACCAGCATCTGCGGAATAGTTAGAGATGAAACGTCATATACACTTAAATGGTTCAGGAGATATACTTTCCTGCTCTCCTATATATGCCAGCTAGGTAAGGTAATTGTCAGGAATGGACTGGCCAGCAATGGTGGGACTCACCTGCCTTTTGATCTGCAGTACCAGGGCTGGCCAGCGGGTGCTCCCAGCAATCAGAGACTCTGCCAGGGCTGGCCAGCTAACACCTGGAACTGATGATACTGGTGTATTTAAGGGATGGCCAGACTTGCAGACTCTGCCTTGGTGTTGTGTTTGTCCTGGGCCCTGTATCTGTCCTGCATCCTGTTTCTGTTCCTTTGCTACCTGTTCTGATCCCTGGCTTGTGACCCTGACCATCCCTCTGCCTGACCCTCTGTACTCCGCTGCTTGCTACCTGTTCTGATCCCTGGCTTGTGACCCTGACCACCCCTCTGCCTGACCCTCTGTACTACGCTGCTTGCTACCTGCTGAACCTGGCCTGTGACCCCGACCATTCTCCGCTTGCTCCCCCTGTACCTACCTGCCCAATTGATATTGACTCGGCCTGCCTGACGACGCTTGCTTGTATGTACTGTTATCTGTGGGTGGTTGGTTGGGTTTGTTTGCACTGTATTATGTTTAGTATTGCACTGCGTTTATGTTTGTATTGTTAGTGTTAATAAATTACATTGTTAATCACATATCTGAAGTCTGCGTTTCCCTGCTTCAGTCACACACCTCTGGTCATACCTGGGAGCCCTGACATTACACCAAGGCCAATCCTGACCAGAAGTGGCTGCACAGGGAAGCCATCTTGACTTGTTGATGGGAAGGATGGATCTGGATGAGGTTGCGTATTTATATCTGCTAGTGTTTGATGACAGGGAGTATGCTTATCAAACTCTGAAGGAGTATACCCGGGATGAACTGCTAGAATGTATATGGCTCGCTCATGTTCTAGTAGATCAGGGCAGAGTTCTCTGAGGTGCAGCCTTTGATTGAGGTTTGTGCTGAGTTGGTTTCATCTGGTTCCCCCGAATGCAGGGATGAATTTTTGCCACCATTTAGTGCAGACCAGGTAGAGTCCCTGGTGTGGTTATTAGAGGATGATGTGGGTTACTTTCTGGAGCGTTATTCCACATGTTCACCACAGACACTAAGAGATTGTATAAACGCAGTGCAGTCATTGACCAGACAGGCTTTGTGTAAGCTCAGCTTTGTTCAACCCATACTGCAGACATGGACAGACTTGTTGCACCCAGCCTCAGTCAGCTTACAAAAACCCAGTCCTGCTTCTAACTCTACTCCTGTATTCCCAACAGCTCCTCCAGTTACAGCCCAGTATACTTGGCTATCTACCGCATGTCAGTACCCTGTTCCCACTCGCTGCACCTATCCTGCCTTTAACCCTGTAAAAAAGCCCTCTGTAGCAACTGCTCCCTCTCCTGTTCCATCCTCCAGTTCTTCTCTGTCTCCAGCTGCTCCATTCGTTTGCAGACCTTCGTTTACTTGCAGTGCTCCAGTAGTTAAAACCAGAAAAAAGCGAAAATTCTTTCCAACCAATACCATCCTGCCAGTATCCAAACCGGTGAGCCTGCCTTCCGTGGTTCAGCCTGAAGCCTCTACTCGGCCTGATGCCTCTACGCGGCCTGAAGCCTCTACTCGGCCTGAATCCTCTACTCGGCCTGAAGCCTCTACTCGGCCTGAAGCCTCTACTCGGCCTGAAGCCTCTACTCGGCCTGATGCCTCTACTCGGCCTGAAGCCTCTACTCGGCCTGAAGCCTCTACTCAGCCGGACGCCGGCATTCAGCCTGATGAACTGATCCAGCCTGACGATCCTATTAGGCCAGTTGACTCGATGCCCGCTGTTGATCCAGATGATCCGGTGCCCACTGTCGTGCCAATTGACTCAGAGCCCGCTGTCGTACCTGGTGACTCGGTGCCCACTGCCTTGCCAGATGACGCGGTGCCCGCTGGCGAGCCAAATGACCTGATGCCTGGTGACCCAGTGCCCGCTGTCATACCTGGTGACCCAATGCCCGCTGTCGAGCCAGACGATCCAATGCTTGGTGACCCGGTGCCCACTGCCTTGCCAGATGACGCGGTGCCCGCTGGCAAGCCAAATGACCTGATGCCTGGTGACCCAGTGCCCGCTGTCATACCTGGTGACCCGATGCCTGCTGTCGAGCCAGACAATCCGGTACCTGATGACCCGGTGCCCCACTGTCGTGCCTGTTGACTCGGAGCCCACTGCCTTGCCAGATGACGCGGTGCCCGCTGTCAAGCCAAATGACCTGATGCCTGGTGACCCGATGCCCGCTGTCCAGCCAGACGATTCAATGTCTGCCCAGTGCCCGCTGGTCATGCCAGTTGACTCGGAAACCCACTGCCTTGCCAGATGACGCGGTGCTCGCTGTCAAGCCAAATGACTTGATGCCCTGGTGACCCGATGCCCGCTGTCCAGTCAGACGATCCAATGTCTGACCCAGTGCCCCACGCGGTCATACCCAGCTACAGTTGACTCGTCGAGCCCACTGCCTTGCCAGATGACGCGGTGCCCGCGGTCGAGCCAAATGACCTGATGCCTGGTGGTGACCCGATGCCCGCTGTCCGGTCAGACGATCCAATGTGTCTGACCCAGTGCCCGCGGTCATACCAGTTGACTCGGAGCCCACTGCCTTGCCAGATGACACGGTGCCCGCTGTCGAGCCAAATGACCTGATGCCTGGTGACCCGATGCCCGCTGTCCCGGTCAGACGATCCAATGTCTGACCCCCAGTGCCCGCGGTCATCTAGCCAGTTGAGTGCCCGCGGTCATACAGTTGACTCGGAAATGCCCACTGCCTTGCCCACTGTCTGATGCCCGCTGATGGGGCCGGAGTACGTCTGATGACACGGTGCCCGCTGTCGAGCCAAATGACCTGATGCCTGGTGATCCGATGCCCCGCTATCCAGCCTTAGACGATCCAATGTCCTGGACCTGTGCCAGCGGTCATGCCAGTTGACTCGGAGGCCCACTGTCGTGTCTGGATCGCCTGGGGGCGAAAGACTGTCCGCTGCTCCTCGCCTGGGGGCCCGAGACCCTGTCGCTCCGCCTGGGGGTCCAGCGCCCCGCCGCTCCACCTGGGGGTCCGGCGCCCGCCGCCGCCGCCCCCCGCCTCTTGGGCCCGAGACCTGTCGCTCCGCCTGGGGGCCCGAGACCTGTCGCACCGCCTGGGGGTCCGGCGCCCGCCGCTCCGCCTGAGGGCCCGAGACCGACCTGTCGCTCCACCTGGGGGTCCGGCGCCCGCCTCGCTCCACCTGAGGGCCCGAGACCTGTCGCTCCACCTGGGGGTCCGGCGCCTGCTGCGCTCCGCCTGAGGGCCCGAGACCTGTCGCTCCACCTGGGGGGTCCGGCGCCCGCAGCTCCGCCTGAGGGCCCGAGACCTGTCGCTCCGCGGTGGGGGCCCGAGAGACCTGTCGCTCCACCTGGGGGGTGCCGGCGCCCGTTGCTCCGCCTGAGGGCCCGAGACCTGTCGCTCTACCCGGGGGGGTCCGGCGCCCGCCGCTCCGCCTGAGGGCCCGAGACCTGTAGTTCCGCCTGGGGGTCCGGCGCCCGCCGCTCCGCCTGGGGGCCCGAAGCCTGTCGCCCCGCCTGGAGGCCCGATGCCTGTCGCCCCGCCTGGGGGGCTTCCGATGCCTGCCTGTCCCCCGCCTGGGGGCCCGAGACCTGTCGCTCCACCCGGGGGTCCGGCGCCCGACGCTCCGCCTGAGGGCCCGAGACCTGTAGTTCCGCCTGGGGGTCCGGCGCCCGCCGCTCCACCTGGGGGCCCGATGCCTGTCGCCCCCGCCTGGGGGCCCGATGCCTGTCGCTCCGCCTGGGGGTCCAGCGCCCGCCGCTCCGCCTGAGGGCACGAGACCTGTCGCTTCACCCGGGGGTCCGGCGCCCGCCGCTCCCGCCTGAGGGCCCGAGGCCTGTAGTTCCGCCTGGGGGTCCGGCGCCCGCCGCTCCGCCTGAGGGCACGAGACCTGTCGCTCCACCCGGGGGTCCGGCACCCGCCGCTCCGCCCGAGGGCCCGAGACCTGTAGTTCCGCCCGGGGGGCCCGATGCCTGTCGCCCCGCCCGGGGCCCCGAGGCCTGTCGCCCCGCCCGGGGGTCGAGGCCTGTCGCCCCCGCCCGGGGGCCCGGTGCCTGCCGCCCCGCCCGGGGGCCCGGTGCCTGCCGCCCCGCCTGGTTGCCCGGTGCATGTCGCCTCTGCCCGGGGCCCCCGGTGCCTGCCGCTCCGCCCGGGGGCCCGGTGCCTGCCGCTCCGCCCGGGGGCCCGGTGCCTGCCGCTTCGCCTGGTTGCCCGATGTGCCTCTGCCCGGGGTCCTGCCCGATGTGCCTCTGCCCGGAGTCCTGCCCGATGTGCCTCTGCCCGGAGTCCTGCCCGATGTGCCTCTGCCCGGAGTCCAGCCCGATGTGCCTCTGCCCGGTGTGCCTCTGCCCGGAGTCCAGCCCGATGTGCCTCTGCCCGGAGTCCTGCCCGATGTGCCTCTGCCCGGAGTCCTGCCCGATGTGCCTCTGCCCGGAGTCCAGCCCGGTGTGCCTCTGCCCGGAGTCCAGCCCGGTGTGCCTCTGCCCGGAGTCCAGCCCGATGTGCCTCTGCCCGGAGTCCAGCCCGATGTGCCTCTGCCCGGAGTCCAGCCCGATGTGCCTCTGCCCGGAGTCCAGCCCGATGTGCCTCTGCCCGGAGTCCAGCCCGATGTGCCTCTGCCCGGAGTCCAGCCCGATGTGCCTCTGCCCGGAGTCCAGCCCGATGTGCCTCTGCCCGGTGTGGCTCTGCCCGGTGTGCCTCTGCCCGGAGTCCAGCCCGATGTGCCTCTGCCCGGTGTACCAGTCTTTGATATCCCGCCAGTTACCAGACCCGGGCGGTGGAACATTTTTCCCAGCTAGGACTGTTTGGAGCGTCCTGAGGCCGCTCCTTGAGGGGGGGGTACTGTCAGGAATGGACTGGCCAGCAATGGTGGGACTCACCTGCCTTTTGATCTGCAGTACCAGGGCTGGCCAGCGGGTGCTCCCAGCAATCAGAGACTCTGCCAGGGCTGGCCAGCTAACACCTGGAACTGATGATACTGGTGTATTTAAGGGATGGCCAGACTTGCAGACTCTGCCTTGGTGTTGTGTTTGTCCTGGGCCCTGTATCTGTCCTGCATCCTGTTTCTGTTCCTTTGCTACCTGTTCTGATCCCTGGCTTGTGACCCTGACCATCCCTCTGCCTGACCCTCTGTACTCCGCTGCTTGCTACCTGTTCTGATCCCTGGCTTGTGACCCTGACCACCCCTCTGCCTGACCCTCTGTACTACGCTGCTTGCTACCTGCTGAACCTGGCCTGTGACCCCGACCATTCTCCGCTTGCTCCCCCTGTACCTACCTGCCCAATTGATATTGACTCGGCCTGCCTGACGACGCTTGCTTGTATGTACTGTTATCTGTGGGTGGTTGGTTGGGTTTGTTTGCACTGTATTATGTTTAGTATTGCACTGCGTTTATGTTTGTATTGTTAGTGTTAATAAATTACATTGTTAATCACATATCTGAAGTCTGCGTTTCCCTGCTTCAGTCACACACCTCTGGTCATACCTGGGAGCCCTGACAGTAATATACCAAACTATTTGTATTAACGTGACCAATCTGAAGATATTCCTGGTTTTTATGCAAGTCTCTCTCTATATTCCAAGATATGAAATCACAGGGGAGAATGGATGCTGAATGTGGTGTCTTGTTTTATGCATTCTCTGGAATGCCTTTGAACTCCCGTGAAGGACTTGGTTTACGCTTTTACGATATCCCAGATTGCAGAGCGACCAGACAGCTAGGCCCCAGCTCTGTTGGGGTTTTATAGCTCGGAGCTCTCCTGCTGTGCCTGGTTTGCCTGTGACCTCTGTTATCACCACATGCCACCCAACAGCGAGGGAGAGGGTGGATGATTGGAGGAGAAAGCCTGCTTTGGGAGGGAGAGAGGTGAGACAACATGGAAGGGTTCTTAACAAAATGGAGGACTGCGTCCATCTCTGTGGGCACGATTGCTACAAACATATCCTTTAACCGCCTCCTGCTCACCATATTGACACGACGGACAAGCAGGAGCTCTCTCTCGTTCTGGAAGAGCGTCATATGATGTCCTCCCACTCTAGCCACATTGCGCTGAGATCGGTGGTGCCCTGTGTTTCCTAGGTCATCACCGATTGCGGTAAAGAGATAACGTAAGCTCTTTACCATGTGATCAGCTGTGTCCAGAAAATTCCAGTTATCAGTCCTCTTCTCACGCAGACAGCGCATGAGGAGAATTGAGCCGTTAAGCAGCAATCTTAAGAGGAGACATCTACACTGATAATCAAAGGCACTGATCATCGGTGCCCATAAGTGCTGCTTTCAGTGCAGTCTATTACTGCCCATCAGTGATGCCCGTCAGTGCCGCCTATCACTGAAGCCTCATCAGCGCACAGCAGTGAAGGAGAAAAAATTACTTATAACAGAAACTAAAAAAAAATTGGGAGGAGACGACCCCCAAAAGAGGAATGGTTTTACAGAGGCCACTGACATTTTTTTCCCTACTCATCTTTTCTGTTTTTCATGAGTTTTGCATTTGGCTAGGGTCAGTGTCACTACTAGTAGCATGAGGTGATACCTGGACCCTACAGAGGTTGCACAGGCAGTCCAACTCCTCTAGGATGGCACATCAATATGTGCCATTGCCAGAAGATTTGCTGTCTCCCAGCACAATCTCAAAAGTATGGAGGAGATTCTAGGAGACAGGCAGTTACTCTAGGAGAGCTGGACAGGGCCATAGAAGGTCCTTAATCCATCAGCAGGATCATTATCTGTCCCTTTGTGCAAGGGGGATCAGGATGAGCACTGCCAGCGCCTTCAAAATGACCTCCAGCAGGCCACTGGTGTGAATGTCTCTGACCAGTCAGAAACAGACTTCATGAGGGTGGCCTGAGATCCTCTAGTGGGCCCTGTGCTCACTGCCCGGCACCAAAGAACTCAACTGGCATTTGCCATTGAACATCAAAATTGGCAGGTCCACCGATGGCACCCTGTGCATTTCACAGATGAGAGCAGGTTCACCCTGAGCACATGTGACAGACGTGAAAGGGTCTGGAGAAGCCATGGAGAACGTTTTGTAACATTGTTCAGCATGACCATTTTGGTGGTGGGTCAGTGATGTTTTGGGGAAGCATATCCATGGGAGGATGCACAGATCTCTACAGGCTAGATAATGGCACCGTGACTGCCATTAGGTATCGGGATGAAATCCTTGGACCCATTGTCAGACCCTACGCTGGT